GGGGTCTGCTTCACCTGGTTGGAAACGACTCGACGTAGCAAAGGCGCGGTGAATTTATAACCCCGGCTCCCAAAGGGTATTCGTGGAAGTTCCGACGGGGATCCAGCCCGTACGTCTGAGCTGTGTGAGGGCGTGAAAGTCTCGCCTTGTTTTTATTTCATGTTACGTTGCCAAAGTTTATACAAAATAACATTTCGATCTTTACGGGTCAGATATTTTCTAAGAATTAACATGACGAAACAAGGTTTGGTTCTTCCATGTTCTCACTCTCAGCAAAGGAATTTCGAGATTTTATTCTTGCTTTTCCAAGACAGCCCAAGTGCACACACTTTTTAAAGAGAATGTAATATTTTAAGAGTATACATTACCCACCTCTCCTCTACCTCCGTAATCTCCTTTTTAGAGGAGATTCCATGTTCAGCTGTCTCTTTTATCGTTTACCTCCCGGTTTCTAAATAATTTACACGGCGGCCTCTTGAATTATCCGTTTAGATGTCGTGCTTTGACTGCCTGTTGCCTCAGACAAGGCCTGAGCTCTTTCACATCCCACCCAGTTTCCCCTTCTGCCCTTCTTCCAACTCAGTTCATTCACAGTTTAGGGGCAGTAAGTAGTTGGTGACTCTGGATATACCAGTCAGCAGAGCCAACTGGTGTACTATGGTTGTTTTCTTTCTTATAAAATGTTATATATTTACTTGGTTATGCACCCATCGTGATATTTTTTTTTTTCTACAACATATCTATCAAATAACTATCAGTTTTATTTTTCCAAATAATCAGACAATCAATTTTATTTTCCCCCTGGCAATATACCTCCAACTTGTCTGTCCTTCTGTCTCAATGGAGATGAGAATTCTAAGTTGAAATTTTTCATTCATAAGTTTGTAAAATTTGCTCTTTTGTCTTCTAGCACCCGGTGTTTGCTTTTGAGAATCTCAGTGCCACCCTTATTTCGTTCTTTTGTGACCTGCAATTTTTCTTCCTGGAAACTTTCAGAATAATCTCTTTACCTCTCATATTCGGGAATTTCATAATTATGTGCTGGGTACTCAATGGCAAAGATTTGCCTAAGTTCAAATCATGCCTCTACTACATGACCTTGGGCAAGTCACTTCTTGCTGTGCTTCAGTTTCTTCATCGATAATAATATAATATATATGTGTATTTATATATATTATAATGGGAGTGATAATAGTAATTTCCTCACCGGTATATCTCAGCCACTTAGAATAGTGCCCGGACACATAGTAAGTCCTGGATTGTTGTCCACTCTTATTTCCTTTTTGAAACTGTTAGTTGGATATTGAATCCTCTGGATTAATCTTAGAATTTTTTTTCCTTTCCTTTGGGCATCTCTTCATCTTTTGTTCTATTTGGGGGAATAGTTCTTTCCTTTCTACTGATGTTTTTATCTCAGCTATTCTCAGAGCTCTTTTCATGTTTTTTAAAAATATTTTTTACTGATTTTTAGAGAGAGAGAGAGGGAGAGAGAAACATCAATGTGAGAGTGCCTGCCGCCTGTTTGCCCCACTACCTGTTGCCATATACAGGGCTACTGCCATAGGTCTGTCATTGACTTCACTGTGAGTCAGTGATCGGTGGTATCTCATAGGTCGTTTGCACTGTAAAAACACTAAGTTGTTTGATCAGCTATTATCCATAAGAAGAAACCTTAGGAAGAATGCCACGTACTTGAAATGATGCCTGAATTTGAAATCAAATAGAGATTTATAACCTGACCAACTGAGCACTGAATGGCAGCTCCCCTGCAGTTTGAAGCCACTTCTGTTTTCCGTGGTAGCGTGGATATCCGTATTTGCATGAGCACTTACAGATTTCATGAAGGCTCTCAAACTAGCAGCGTGAAATGCAGCCAGCAGCTAGCTGAAGTTTGCATATTTCCTTGAGGATAGCACACATTTCTGTTGTTTGGGCTGCCCGTTGGTAGCTCTTCAATAGAAAGCATGGTCCTGTAAAAGCATGGTGCACTGAATACATGTCTTTATCTCTGCCTCCTTTTTTGTTTTGTTTTGTGTTTGGAGGTATATTTCTTTTATTTTTATTCAATTTATTGGGATGACATTGGTTAATAAAATTATATAGGTTTCAGGTGTACAAGTCTATAATACACCATCTGTATATTGCATTGTGTGATCACCAGCCCAAGTCAAATCTCCGTCCATCAGCATGTACCCCCCCATTACCCTCTTCTACCTCCCCCCACACCCTTTCTCCTCTGGTAATCATCCAGTTGAGCACCTTCATCAACAACGCTGAGTAAATAAATGAATTCATGGAATACCTCCTATATTCCAGGTCTCCAGTTTGGTTCCTCATTGAAGTTTTAATAGTACTATATGAGACAGGTAATTCTAATAGTTAAGAATGCTTTCAGTGGCGAGCCTAGGAGCAGCCAGCTGGTAGGGGCTTTCCCCAAGACTGGTTACTTTCTCCTGCGTCATAAGAAGTCTGGGGACCAGAACAGGGGGTGGCAATTGCTGGCATTAGATTGGCAGCTCCGTAACTCAGAGCTCTTTGCACTTTCCTGCCTCTCACAGTAAAAAATACCATATCCTTCCACAACCAAGTTTGAAAACAGGAAGAAGGTACACAAGGAACTCCACTCAGGGATGAAAAAATCTTTCCCAGAAGCTGCCATCAGACTTCCCCTAATACCTCATTGGCCAGAACTGGGTCGCATGACCAGTGTGGATCAGGAGCTGGAGCCACCTTTCATGAGATTAAGGAATCTCCACTGGAAATTTGAACAAATTAGAGTTGTTATAACAAGAAAGTTTTACCACAGTGATACCACAGTATTGAAAGCTTTATAATACAAGTGATTTATTTGACCTTTAGTTTGGACAATGTAAATAGCAGATCTGAGATTCAAATCTTGATCTGTGTTATCCCAAAGTTTGTACAATGTCACCTCCTAGCCTTGAATATTAAGAAGTTCTTCCTGCATCGAAATGTAGATTTGGTCAGGAATGGCTTTGCAGAAGAAAAATGCTTTAGGCAAGGTCTTGAGGGAAAAAACACATATTGAGTTGATGGAGACAATAAGGCTGGTTGTGGGACATTATATTAATACCACCCTCTTCATTTTTATTCTTACATAAAAATGCTTTTCATGTATCCCATTGATCATCAGAGCATCTCTCCCTATTTTGGGAATTTATTGTTGCTTTGATGCTCTAAACGAACTATAAATAAACTGAGAAGAAATGACATTTACCCAAGGGAAAATGCCAAAATGAGAACCCAGAGACCATGGCTAGGGCTACAGCAGAACAGAATGTTCTCTCTGAGATCTTTAATGAGGCATGCTCATTGTTGATGCCTCAATATACTCTTGCAAATGTCTCAACCTGGAAGAACGTAGTCAAATAACCTAATATTATGTAACTGCTCTTCCCT